AGCTAAGCAACAGAAAATTGTCCAGAGCTGAACTTTTCTCCTTTATGGGACTGCATTTTATCTTGCTGTTGGGATGGGGGTACTCACAGCACCCCAGGGCACACAGATCTTGCCTGCCATGGGCAGTGCTGTCTGTGCATGGCACAGGGATATCAGGTCTTGCAGGGGAGCTGTGGGACAAGCCAATTCTGATCACAGAGATGGCAGTCTGGATGATTTCTTTTTCTAATCACTTGCATAGATTCTCCTACAGGGTCTCCAGATTTTAGGGACGTGCCAAGCTGGGGTATTTCCCCAGCTGGGTCAAGAAAAGGCTCTCAGCAGATTTCTGCCAAGATGGAGATTGGGATCAGCACCCAGCTCTGCTGAGGTGCCTGGGGAAATGCCATCTCACCAGAGCCCCATGCATAACCATGTCTGTGCTGTCCTGATACCACAGGAGACCTAGCTCCACTCCTCCCTGGCTCCACACTGTGTCAATTTGCCCCAGTGCTGGAGAATTTCATGCAATATAACACATTTGTATACACACACATGCACATGGATACCTATTCCATGTCCCTTGTTGCCTGTTGCTGGCTGGCACAGAGCTTGCATGCATGGGGAAGCATTTGAGATGCTGGTAACAATGTGTTTGGTTCAAAAGGATGGAAGGGCAACTCTTGTAAGTGTGTGAAGACAGAGTGGTCATTAGTACATGTTCATTGAAGTTTACCAGCTGTGTAACAATGGGCTTCTCTTTGCCATTTTACTTAATTTGTCTGTAATTATGTTCCTAATATAGAAATCATTTGGCATTTATTTGCTGTAATAAAACTTCCCATTGCATTTAAACTCAATGTGAAGTTTTAAGTATATTTAGGAGACACAGCTGAAGACCTGAAATTAAATGACCCTGGCTTCCTTTTGCAAACAAGACAAACTCAGATAAATGCTAGCAGTCAGATACACACATGCAGATCTGTGAGCAGCAGCAGCAGCTGCATGTACACCCACAAAGAGAGATGGCAGCCCTTGTGATGGGGACAACTCCTCCAGCATCTCCTCATTGATCTGCTCTGGCCCAGGGCACTGCTCCTCTGACTGATGCTCGTGCTACTTTGCATACCTGAGCAGGAAAAATGCACAGGTGAAGGAAAAACTGCAGGTCTTGAAATCACCATCAGCTATCTTGGTTTTGTGCACAGCTTGCACTGGCTTTCAACATGTTTGCTTTAATGGTTGTGGTAGTAGGATGTTGGGCCAACCCAGGACACCAGCCACATCCTGGCCCAGTGACACCATCATCCCCAGCCCTGCCCTGTTTAAAGGAGACTGGGTGGGCAAATTTGCTGTACTTAATTTGCAGTTAAAAGAACAGGCCTAGGAAACACATCCCCTGTGTGCCTGCTGGTGGGTGAGCAGCTGCAGCTGCGGATGGGCTCCCAGCACTGATAAATGACAGATAAAAGCCAGGCAGAGCTCTGCCACCACCACTCAACAGGGGTGACGCTGCTCCTGACGTGGTTATTTTCTCCCTGGATATACTGAGCACCACAAGCACGCACTGGCAATAATTTTTTTTCCCCGTCCTTTCTCAGCACTCCTGCCAGTAGGCTTTAAATAGCAGGGGCCAGATAATCATTAACCACTTTGACGTATTGCAGCGGGGACAGACTGGGAGTTCAGACAGAAAGGACAGAGCTGGAGCAGAGCTGCACTACTGGTGCATCTCCAGCAGTATTGTCCTCCTCAGGGTAAAGCCAGTTCAGCCTGGCCTTGCCCCTGCTGCTCCTTGAGACAAGCTCCCATCATACTGAGAGATAGGGAAGAGTATTATTTATATATAATTGATCAGTAAATTACTCTTTCCAGAAGTAGGGAAGAGCATTTCATGCATATGTTTGAAATGGTTGTGGCTGAGCCAGAGCACCTTTCACTTTTTGTTAACTCTGGTTTTTCCTAATTTAGAGTTGGATAACAGAAAAAAAAAAAAAAAAGCAGGTGACCTGACTCCAAAGCACACTTCAATGTTTCAGAAGAACAAGATGACAGTGAGCAAATTGAGGAGGAAGCTTGCAGTTGGGAAGCATTTCTCCACTAGTTACTGACAAAGGAAAAATGCTGCTTAGACTCATCCCAGCGATGGGATGTAACTCTACAATGGGAAGTTGCAAAAATAAATGTTGTGAAATAGGGAAATAGACCCTTCAAAGGGTTTTTGGAGAGCAGTCCCCACAGGGATTTGGTCGGAGTGCTGCTGTTTGAGCACTGGAGAATATATTGTGCAGACGCATCTTCTACAAACTTGCAAAAATGAGTGTTAGGGATTTAATTCCCATCTCTAATTGTTATGATTTTTGTCTCACTTTGGGATTGCTTTTGTGTTCCTGTAGCTTTTAGCAGCAAAGGACTCTGTACAGCAAAACCTTCCTGTGTATCACAGCCAATGGTCTATTCCTGAGCTCTTTGTACAGACAGCAATGAGACTCTTTCTCCTTTGCTGTACAAAGGATTTATTCCTTTAATATGCCCCTGGTGTTTGTTTTTCTGCTGGTACAGGAGTGGATGTGCATGTGTGTGCATGTGGCAGTGTTTTACAAATGCCTGCTGTGGATAGAATTGGGCTTCACAGTATGCAAAAATATCTGTGTGCCACATACAAGGATGCAATATTTCAGACGGCTGGAGAAAATGTGATAAGTTGAGTTTTTGCTAGATTTGCTAAAATCAAGTTACTGGGGGATTCATCTCCACAGCTGAATCCTGAGGTTGTAGGAGCTGGCAGGACTGTGTGTTTGAGCATCACAGTTAGGGAGGGAGACTGGGTCCCCATGGTGCTGTCGGACATCTGTGAACATCTCTTGGCTCTGAAGAGAGAAGCTCAGATTTCAGAGACTCATTTATTACAGAGCCCCAGAAGCCAACGCGAGTCCAGGCTGTAGCTGCAGCTTTTCCCCTCTGCCTTTGCCTGGAGGTTGTTGCTCTTAGTTCCTGCTCCATCCTGCTCCATTCCTGATCCCTCATCATCGATGCCTCCAGCTGCTCGTTAGACAAAGCCCAGGTCCTGCACTTACCATTTTGAGCCCTGCAAGAGACCCTGCTGTGCAGTGAGGTGGAAAGGCAGGGATGCTGCAGATCTGGGAGGTTTCTGCGTGACCTCCTTACTGCTGGGGCCTCACTTGTGTGCTGAACGACAAAGCTGTTGACAAAATAAGGCACCAGGGACTGAGATGAGAAGGGCAGACCAGAGGCACAGGGCAGTGGTCCTTGTACCAGGCTGGCTCTTGGTGTGGAAGAGGTTTGGCAAGTGGGGAAGCAGAGGAGTTGTGCCAAGTTCTGGTCCCTCCCCTTTTGCATCCTGTCTGGCAGTGCCTGCTCTTCTGGGCTCCTGATCACTCTGGTGATATCCCACCCCAATTTCAGCCAAGGGCACAAACATGCACAGCCAAACCTAAGCCCCCTCGAATTGGACCTCATATGGGGAGTTTGAGTGCCAGATGTCAGTGCTCATTCCCATGTGCACCTTTCTCCCATCTAATCCTTCCCTGCTTCCCTTCTTCTGGTTTGCCATGTCGCCCCTTGCCAGGTGGAAAAGGTTCATGGAGCCTACAGCCCTCCTTGCTCCCCCTCTCCCTTTGTATCCCCTCCAGTATATAATGAAAACCAGTAACAAGTATAGCCAAGGCTGGGTTTGTAACACAAACAGTTATTTACAGTTTTGCTACAATTTCATGCAAGATGACATTTTTAGGTGACCTAGCTGAAACAAATGAAACAATTTAAATGTTCGCATTAGGTTTTGTAAAAAGAAGTATCACTCTTGCCCAGTGTGGTCCTCATTCCTCAGGTCCTGAGACCTGATGTAGTGACCTAGAAGCTGAGACAGTTTCCCACCAGGGTTAGCAAGAGCAGGATCTGGTTCATAACCCGAGGCAGTTGGAATGATGTCTTTTACCATATCCAGCAGTGTCCAGTGCCAGGATCTGTTATCCTGATGCTCCATCAGACTAGTGATGAGGCTGATCTGGGCTGTAAGAGCAAATATCTTCTCCCTAATGCTGAAAGTATGATCCAACCTTCCCTGTCCCATAGATATTCTGCCTTTAAAAGCTTTTTAATCTTGGAGCACAGTTAAAGAGACTACTGGAATCTATACTGTGGCTTTTAAACACTAAACAGTGAGGAGTAAAATGTAATGGCTCTCTCCTAACCTAAATAAGCAATGGCAAACAACTGTAAAGGGCTCCTGAGCTTGTGTGCACAAAGGAATTTAGTCTCATGGTGAACAGCATGATAGCAGATAGATCAGAATAATAGGGAGTGTTTGTGGATGTTTGTGGACCCTGTTAAAAGCTGCACCAGAAACAAGGGAGTGAGCCAGGAGGTTCAGTGTTTCAGCCACCACTCATAACTGTCTGGGTTGCAGGCCAGAGCACAATTTGTTCTCCTTCTTGCTTGCTTCTAGGGTGCAAATAACCAGCCCTGTAGTTCACCAGTATGACTGTCTGGGATGGTAGACAGTGTGGGAGAGAAATTTGAGGACATTTTGCATGCCTGGGCTTGAGGAAGCTACCTGCGTCTGAGCAGGCCATCAGTCTGCAGCAGAGGCTGTCTCACAACTTACCACTACCACCAACCTCACTTTCTAAAATAGACAGCAGAGAGACAAAACCTGAGCAATGAACGGATGGTGTCTGGTTGCCAACAGAGCTGGTTGGGGTCAGTGTGGGTCCTCTGGAGTGGTAAGAGTTGTGCTCATCCAGCTTTTCCTTCAGTGGTGACAAGGCATGTAAGACTCCAGTGTTTGAGACTGTTACATCCCTGACAGTCTCATTCACATCGGACAAGCATTATTAGAGGGAAAAAGGGATGGAAGCAGAATGATTGCCTGAGCCAAACCAGGTAAAAAAGGAAGAAAGTTCAAATGGTGGAGAAGGGAGCTTCTGCCATGCCTGCCACGTGTGCCATGCTGTGGAGGGAGGGGAGCCTCGCTGACGCTGTCTGTCTGTCTGTTTCAGGGGGAGTTGCTGAGCCCGTGTCGATGCGATGGATCTGTGAAGTGCACGCACCAGCCATGTCTGATCAAATGGATTAGCGAGAGAGGCTGCTGGAGCTGTGAGCTGTGTTACTACAAGTATCACGTCATTGCCATAAGCACAAAGAACCCTCTGCAGGTAAAGGTACTAGAGACATTTCAAAGTCTATTTATTCTTGTTTCAATTTTTGTTTCTGGGAGCAAGTGGATTTTACCTGTGTGGGCTTTCCTTCCCTGTGCACAGGGATTCAAATGTCTGAGACACTCAGAAAGGATTGCCAGGGACTGGTCCAAAGAGGCCCCCAGACTCCCTTGGGAGTCTGCTCTTTCTCTCCTTGGCAATTCCTATATTCACTTGCCTCCTGTTGAAAATTCCGCAGTAGTGCTATAACACCTCACATTCAAATGTGTTCATCCACTGGAGACCCCAGGTGTGCCTGCCTCCAGGGCCAGGCAAGGACTGTGCCATTGTGGGATTTACTGCAACAGAGCACACAGTCTGTGACTGAGCAGTCGAGACTCCACGTGTTTATAGTTGTGCCATTAATCCTGATCTCCTCCTGCTGAGACTCTGCTGTGTTGGTGTGAGGGATGGTGGAGGCAGATGGAGGGTTCTTGGCACTCTCCTCTCTGATCTCACCCCCTTTTTCACTTTACTGCTCTCACACAATCATGGCAAGGCACAGGAGGTGTTGACTCTAAAACTCTGGTCTCTTCAAGCCTGATTCTTGATGGACTTTTGCAGATGTGCACACAACAGGTAAAGCACATCTTTGATGTGTCTGTGAAAGTCATCCAAGGACCCACGTTCTTTCTTATCTGAAAAGCATTGTAGTGAATAAGTCACAGTACAGACTGGTGATTTTAAATCAGGATTCAGAATGGGGAAACCTGTGTGACTATTAAAAATGGGATAAATTATCCTTAATAGCTATTGATTTATTGTGGGGGCAATGCCTGAAGATGCATTAATTACTGCATGCCTTTGCTAAGCATCATTAGTGCTCTGGCCATAAGGAAGCACATTACATCCAGGCACTTCTGCTTAATCAGCATCATCTGGACTGGAGGGGCATTACAGTGGTTTAGAGACCAGGGTCATGTCTATAGGGATTTTGGTCTGTCCAGTGCCTGGCCCTCTGTGGGTCACTCTCTACCAGGAGGCAAGGACAGTGCTGGTGATGGTGCCCAGTTGTACAGGGGAGTGGGGGAAGGCAAACTCCTGCTCTCTCCTTCAAACTGTGGTCTCTGTGTGGTTTTTTCTAGGCCTGAGGTCACTTACCACATTGGGGAAAAAGGGACAACCCATTAGGACTCCAGACTTAAATGAAGTACTGAAATTAGGGGGACATCATGGGGAAACTTTACTGAGGGAAGGGAAAAACCTGCCTGCTCTCTGAGAGTCCCTACAGCTTCTGATTCAATTTTCCATGAGCCATGGGCTGGACACATCAGTAGTTTCATCCCAAGCCTCAGACCCGGAATGTTTTAATTTCTTGGCTCTAGTAAGTCAGAGCAGATTGAAACACAGGAGGGGAGATGTGGACAAAGCAGCTTTTGTTTATTTCTGGAAAGCTGCTCCATGATTGCCCTAATGCTTCCTGTGTCTCAGATTGGGGTTGCAATGCTGAGCAGCACTGGAGGTTTGTGAGTACAAATTTGTGAGCCTTTGTGTCCCCAGGACTGCCTTTATTAAATGACTTCAAAACACTCTGCATTTTCAGGTGGCTCAGGGCAATGGGTCAGTTACTTTCTTCCTGTTCCTCACTCAGCTAAAATTTGTTAGAGCTGCTCATGGACAAGCTTCCACCTCACACACACAACTTTCCGAGCCTGTGCAGAGCTTCTCTCTCTCTGGGCTCCCCTGGCAGAAAGTGGCCTGATCTGGTGGCCTTTGCCATGAACACTGGGTGGCAGAAACAGCTGAGTTAGAGAGCTCAGCTCCAGGAGCAAGGGTCCCACAGGACTGTGCAGATCCGGGGCTTGGAGCCTTCACATTGCTGGCTTAGACTTCACAGCACTTCTCACAGAAGCACTGGGAAATTTGGAGGATAGGAAGAAGCAACTGGAGTGAAAAACCACTTGGCCCGGAATAAATGCAATGTGTAGAGCTACAGCTGTGAGCCTGGGTGCCCTGTCTGGTGCCAGCACAAAGGCACTGCTGGGAAGCAGATGCTACCCTGGCATTAATATGCAAAATCCTGTGGGAAGTGGCTGATACACCAGGCCAGGACTTCCTACCCGTGCTGAGGGCTTGGGCCCCCTGTAACCCATTACTGTGAATGCCTCATTTCTCAGTGGCTCTCACCATCTGGTAAGATACTGGGAAAAGGGGGCAGAGAAGACACAGGAGTTACTATGCCCCAACACTGTATCCCATAACAAGTCACAGCATGTGCAGGTGGGAGGAACATAATTTCTGCTTGGTCTGCACCCCACATGTGGATAACACAGGCTAGCTGGACATACAAGTATATCTCAAAGTCCCTGACCTTTCCTCTCAGGGTCTGCTGGAACTTGTGCCCAGCTTTATTCTTACAAGAAATCTCTGAATTTCTCAAGCACAGTTTTTGGAGAGCAAATGCTGTAGGAAGTCAAGGTCATCTGTTTTTTCCAGACCAACCACAATACAGGCAAGGACCACACAAGCCTCATGTCCTTGTCCAATATACCCTAATTGGGTGATGCTCTGAGCCTGGCTCGATTCTAGTCAACATCATGGCCTACCTCTCTCCTGTGCCCTGTATCTGATAGACTGCTGGGAAGCCAGATCCAGGCAGCTGGAAGACCCTGGATCCCTGAAGCATGTCCAATTGGTCTGAGCAGAGCAGCACATCCAACACCCACATGTTCCCTGGGACCTGCATGTTTCTCTGCCCGTTTTGACATCTGCTGCACATTTTTTGGAGTGCTTAGAAGCACAGCATGGGCCAGATGTGTCTGGAGACTCATGGTGTGGGCAGAGAAATTACAGCCGGGTTCATGCATAATTAACACAGGCTCCTTCCAGCCTCCAGGCTATTAGGAAGCTTCATACCAGAGAGGGACCTTTAGTCCTCTGTTTTGGCAGAATGAATCTGTGTAAATTAACCCACCCCACTCCCTGCTCCCTGGATTGCAGGCATTTAAGAGCAAAGGTCTTCAAGCAGCAATAGTGCCAACCTGCTGAGGCTGGGGGATTAAAGTTGTTGGACAACGTAGCAGGTGTCCTGCCAAGCAGCAGTCAGGCAGTGAATGAGCAAAAATATTCCATCAGCTGTGAACAACTAGGAAACCCAGAGCTTTTGTCCATCCATCCATCCATCCATCCATCCATCCATCCATCCATCCATCAATCCATTCTGCTCTCCAGTTTGCCAGTAACCAAGACACAGGAGTCATGGGCTTGGAGGCTTTAAATGCTTCCCTCCATTGTAATATTTGTGTAAAGCCCGTGGTTTTTAAAAGACCCTGAAGGCCCAGGGGTTTAGAAGCACGTGATCATACTGCCTGCACCCTGGTGCTGATACATAGTGGAGTAGGTATCTGCCTTGATGGGCCTCTGAAGTGAATTTAATCTGTATACCTCCTTTGTAGTCAGTCCTGAACCACATCCACTCTGATGCTCTGATTTTAGCAAAGAGAAAATCTGTTTGAACCAACCTTCCCAACAACTGTCTGCAGTCTTGATGAGTTCAGCTCTGATTTACAGTTGTTATCTCTGACTCTTCCTGCATCGCAGGCTGTTTCTGCTCCAAAGATCCCCAGTTATCCAGTGCAGGGTTGAGATCTGGTCTCTGTTCTCCCCTAGCTCCATTTTATCCATGGTGATGATCTGTTAGGAGCTGATGAGTGCTCTTACATGGCCTCTTCATCAGAACACTCACAACTGCAAGAACAGCTGATCTCACTGGGTGTTTGAGCTTCAGCCTGAGATGCTGAGCTAAAAAGCTTGAGGCAAGTTTACTGATGTCTCCTGGTTGTCCCAGCCTGCTGAATCAGCTGTGTTGAGCATGAGCTTTGCTTCTCCCAGCTGAGCTTCAGCTGCAGCCTGCAAGCAATGGGTGCAGGCACTGCAAGAGAGACTTCAGGACCTGTATGTTACAACAGGAGTTTTCCAGGATGCCAGTGCTGTAGCCTGAGTCTTACCAGATGCTGTGGCACATGGAGGAGGGGGGTTTTCATCATTGCACATTTCCATTACATGGCCCTACTGGGCCTTCCCTCCTCCTTGCTGCATTTCTAGTATCTGAATAAGCCACAGCATCTGGAAGTGTACAGCAGGGAAGCTGTGCCACAGCAGCGGCTTAATTTTGCTTGGCGAATTTATTAAAAAAAAAAAATCCTCCAGAAGATAATTGATGGCCAGGGTCTTGGGACAGCAGCAAGGGGAGAACCACACCTAAGCTGCAAATGATCCTCTCCAACCTTCTAGGAAAAACCTCTCTTGCTTGTGACCCTGGGTCTGAGAATTAAATTGCTGACTAGCACAGCTCAGGATGTTAATGATGTGTATTAAGGGGACGTGTCAGATACAGCAATAAAAATAAACTGAACTGCCTGAGGCAGGCATGGAGGAGCTCTCGGGAGTGCAGGAAGGCTCTTCCAGCAAATGAGACTTCTTTGCAAGCTGCTGCAGTAAGACATAGACATCTTCTGCAGGCAGTATCTGCCTTGGAAATGCTTGTGCTGCTGCTTGGGAACCTTTGTAGACTGCAAGTGCCAAAGACAGGGAAATACAGATCATGCATTAAATACTGTAGTAATGACATTATTCATCTGTGTTACATGAGCAGGTTTTCACTTACAAATCTCTAAGCAGAATCACTGAAGCAAACAGGGAAACAGGTTTGTGTCAAGTACAACTTGCAGATAATGAAACAATGCAGAACAAGTGACACTCAAAGGCAGCAGTACCAGCTTGGACCCTGACTAAAGTCATCACAAATGTCAGACTGAGCTCCTGAGAAGCCCTTTCTGAGGCATCTGGGTTGCAGAGCTTTGTGATTTGGGCAAAATGGGGAAACTTGGGGAAACTGGTCTGAGAGAGAGTGGTCTGCACCTGCAGACATGGGTGGTGTGCCAAAGCACGTGGCCCAGGGGGGTGGTAGCAGGGGACAGACTGACAGCTCCAGACAGCTTCTGCAGAATGGTTTGGAGGGTTGGAGCACTTTTCCAGTGCGGGTGGCAGACCATCACAGAGAACTGCTTGGACATGTTCTGAAGCCACTGTGAGTCTGGAGCTCACAAAGCTGATCCTGTTATTCTGTAGGAGCCTTTAAAGCTTTTTGGTACCACCAAGTCCTTAGTTCTGCCCTGTTCAGCACTGGCAGAGCTTTCTGCCTGCCTAAAGGTCATGTCCCTGACTGACAACCTGGGTGAGCTGAGTTGTTAAAGGTGCACTTACTTTAGTGCAGCTCAGTGGCTACCAGGAGCTCGAGTCATTATCAGCTGGGGGAACAAGGGCTCAGCTTTAGGTCTCTCCCCACAAGTGGGATTGCTTGACCTACTGTGATCTTGCTAGATCTTGAACATTTGAGTGGAGATTTGGAGGGAGTGGGCTGTTTCTGCTGCTAGGCATTCAGACAAAGAGCTTTGGGGGTTTCAGATGTGCCAGTAGAGGGACTCCAGAGTTGCTGAGCAGCTCTAGTGGTGACCCAAGGATGATAGGGTCTCCTGCCAAGTCCCTGGTCTGCTGGCCATAATGAGGGTGGAGAGGGCTTGGGAAAAGGGGTGATTTTCTAAGGGCTGTTATGAAATCTGAAAGACATGGTGCTGTGATTGAGGTGAGCTCCTAAGGCTACCAGTGCAGGGACACATCAAGCCCAGCTCCTGCAGCTGAAATTCATCAGCACATTCCACCTCTGAACAGATCTTGGACCTTTCTGTCTGAGCACTCATGGGTGTAAGAGGCTCTGTCTTCTGTCTCATGCTAGCATCTTCTATCTCATACACTAAGGTGTGTAGTAAAATGGAATTAAAAGATGAAAAATAATGACTCTAGTTATTAGTGGCTCAAGCTAGATCTGGGACACTAAATTGCAGTTCTCAGGTTTGCCAGAAAAAAAATTACAACATTTATTACTTCCTTTTTTTTTTTTTTTTACTGGAAAATACTAAATTCTTCTGCATGCTGGCTGTTTTCCCCAATGTTCAGCTTTGACCCATTTACCTCCTTGCCAGAGGGTAATCACACCCCAGTGCCACCTTCTGAACAGAGTCAGGACTGCTGCTGTGTGTGTCACTGTCACTTAGTGCCAGATGCAGGGGGAGAGCCTCCTACCCCCTGGCACAGCTGACAGGCTCCAGGCTCTTCATTATCATCGCAGTGAATTTCCCAGCAGTCACTGCCAGCTGAGCAGTGTCAGGCACTGTCCCTGCCAGTGTTTCAGCCTCCCTGTTCCCAGCCAAGGGGAGCAGGGTCTGAGGTTTTGCACTCAGGTGTAACTCTTCTGTTCTCTAAGCCCCATGCCCTTTGACAGTGTATTCAGTGCTACACCTAAGCCTCCCTTTCTCTGCAAAGCCATGGTGTTGGTTGTACGTGGCTTCTAGTTGTAGAAAGCAGTTCCTTTGCTGCTAATTGCTACCTTGGAAGGACCTGTTGCTAGCAGAGGCCTTGCAGTATGCCAGGCAGATGGTGAGGAGCCAGTCCATTACCTCCTCAAGAGAGAGAAATGATGCAGAATGATTTGGCTGGCACAGGCGCACGCGGGTCAGTGTGTGGGGCTGCAGTGAAGCCTTCGCACGCAGCCCCAGGCTGAGCTCTCAGCACTGTCATTCCCTCAGAGTCAGCCACTGCCAGTGGAATGGGAGATGAGGTCTGGGGAAAGCTGCAGGGGTGAAACATGCACACAGCCAAGCTCCTTCCCCACCACATGAATTTAGTCCTGGAGCTCTATACTAATGGCATTGCTTGCTGATTTGTCCTTTATTGGCTTATGGTGCTGTTGAGAACAAAGCTGGAGAGCTGGTGGGAGGATGGCAGAGCTGCTTATCCCACCCTCACATGGCAGATTTGTGATGGGTGCTGGGTGGCCTTTGCTCTGCTTGATGTCAGGAGAGGAGTTGCACCATTGCACCTCTGTTATGGACTCCAGCATCCCTGCGGCATTGGGACTTCCAGGCTGTTCACTGTGGGGCCTTCTCAGTGGCACAGAGGGGCCAGGTGGATTTGGTGGAGGCATGGAGCAGGTCAGGCTGTGGCAGAGTGGGAATGGGCTGTTGAAAAGATTACTGAGTGTCCCCAGTGCTAAGTGTTTGCCTTTGGCTGGGTCAGCTGCTGGGGCAGATGGCGGGAAGGGGACAGCAGTAGCTGAGCCCAGGGAAGAGATTGGGTTTAGCTGAGCCCAGTCCTGCTTCAGGGGGGAACAAGCTCTATCCCTGCTCAGCAGCTCAGTGGCCATTTCTGTGGCCAACTACCAAATAAGCTGGTACTGCCCACCTCACTGGTGCTGCACATCCATGGTGGACAATTTGAGGGCTGTCTGCCCATGCAGGATGTAAGCCAAGGAGCATGGCTGGCAGAGGCAGAGGAATCTCCTGCAGCTGCCACCCACAGATCTCAGCCTCTGGCTGAAGCTCTCGTTTGTCCCTCTCCAAATGCAGCCCTTTTCAGGGAAGTGCATTTGGTTCAGGGGTTTGATCATTGGCCTGGTAGCAGTGCCATATGTGCCTGTACCAGCACAAGTCACCCTGTGCTTCTCACCCTTCAGTCAGGGTTCAAAAGTCCTTGCAAAAAACATTGCTAACTCCTGGCTGGCCTGAGCATTAAAGAGGTATCCAGTACCTGAACTCCCTTCTTGCACTGCAGAAGGATGGGACCAGGCTTGCTGGGTGATCCTGCTGTCCTAGGATACGTTTGACCAACATGCAGGGCTCTGAGATCTCACAAGACTGTCACTTCATGGGGACATTGAATTTGGGCTCAATATAGGCTAAAGATTTTCAGCTCCTCTGAATCCTCTGTACCTGCAGGAGGCTGAAGTCCATCTTTGTTTATCCTCCTGCCAGTCCCACTGTGATTTCAAGGGCATGTATCTCACAGCTAGAGGTGGCCTATATACTTCAGTGCCAGGAGAGACTGTCTCTCCTCAGCCTGTTTACACATTTGATGTTTGATTTGCAGAACATGCTATGGACCATGTCCCCAAGTCTTGTTAAAGACTCCAATTTCTGCTCTTGGTTTCATAGGACAGTTTTCTCAGCAGTGTAAGTCTGAGTGGGGAGGTTTTGTGCTGGATGACAGAGACGAGTCTGGGTTTAGGATATTTATAACGTTGCTTATACAAAGCTCTTTGACAAAGTGAATGGATTTGGAGGAGTTACTTCTATTTTTTTCTTTTTCTGAGGAAGAAGCATTGACGTTTACCTTGGAACACAGCCTGAATATGTCTTCATCTGAAGGCAGGGTGTCCTGACCACAACAACTTCTGTTGTTTGTAGCACGTTCTGTGGGATGTGCATTGCCACTGTGAGATTCTACCTAGGGCTGTGATCATGTCAGATCTCACAAAGTGGCACAGAGCCAGCTCATATGAGGCCTTCAAAAAAAAGCTTGGTTCTTTGAGATATTAATCTTTTGGTACTGGAATGCCCTGGATGAGAATGTTGCCTGGCTTCTGTTTGAGGGAGCAACTGAGCTTTATGGTTTGTGATGGCCATCGCAGATCTACTGTCATGGGCATGTTATTTTTGGTGTCTTGCCTTCATCCATCCTGCCTCACTCAGGTTGCTGTGCTTTCCTGGTGAGATACCGGACTCCTTTCCATTTCCTCTTCAGCAGTGCTGCCAAGAAACCCAAGGCCATGCACTGTTGAACAACTGCCACGCTCCATCCCAGATATGGATGGGGTAAAAGCACCTATGCGCAGAGGTGCTCTTTGAGATCTCCAAAGCCACCACAATGGTGCAAAACAGCGATGTGCTCCAAGTAACTAACTCTTCTCTTTTGTCCTCCCTCCCCCTCTCTTGTGCCCTCCCTGTACAGTGGCAGGCCATCTCTCTGACGGTCATTGAGAAGGTTCAGATAGCAGCGGCCATCCTGGGTTCCCTCTTCCTCATCGCCAGTATCTCGTGGCTCATCTGGTCGACCTTCAGTCCTTCAGCCAAGTGGCAGCGCCAGGACCTGCTCTTCCAGATCTGCTATGGAATGTACGGCTTCATGGACATTGTCTGTATAGGTGGGTGACCATACCTCACACCGTGCCACCCGCTCACTCACCCCTGGAGAGGAGTGGGGCATGGCCTGGAGAGCCAGCCTGTACAGTTTGGCTTGGATTGAGTCCCACAGCTTTTCCTCCTCTTTGCTTTTATGGCCCATTTTTCACTGTTCTCTCAGCTCGTCTGGGCAGCCCCAGAGTGTTTCCTTGGCTGGGGTGGCAGAGAGACCGGCAAAAACACCAGAGAGAAGCAGATGTCTCTTCAGAGCAAGAAGTGGGTGGGGAGGTCTAGGGGGGGCTGGGGAGTATCAGGCTTTAGAGAATAAAGCTAATCCTGGGATAGCTGATTTAGGGATTGCCCCACACCAGGCGTGGAAGGGTCTCTCCACAGGCAGCTCCTTGGCTCTCCAGCCCAGTCTGCTCTTCATGATCAGTGGGACAGGTGGTATAGCCCCAGTCTCTCTGCCAGGCAGGAGTGGCTTCCCCTTCTTTGGCCCACCTTGGAGCTGCAAGTCCGAACCAGGTCACGGGCCAGCCTGGGGTCCTTGTCAGGTTTCTGGTACAGAGCAGCTCTTTGAGGATGCAGCTGCCTTGCTCACACTGCACAAGCCTGGAGAGCACAGCAGCTGCTGTCAGCCTGACCTCAGGAGAGTCTCCCTGGGACCAGTACAGGTCTGCGGATGGAGGGACATAGTTGCCAATACCTGCAGCAGCTCCTGAAACACTCTGGTGAGCAGCAGCCACCTCCAAATGTGCCCCTGAGCAGTGTCCTCCCAAGCACAGGCCACAAGATAACTTGTCAGTTCAAGTGACCCTGACAGGAAGCAAAAAGGGAACCAGAGACCTCTTCATGTCTGGGTTCTGGCATCACTGTTAAGAAGTTAGAAGAAGCCCTCTCAAACTCAGTGGGAAAAAGCAGTCTTCTTGACTTGGTGGATATGTGTATGTGTGGATAGAACCATTCCAGAGGGAAGAACAGCCCCCATTCCAGCCCTCAGGAGAAGCAGGACAGAGCAGCAACTTGTGGAATTTGGGTGCAGAAGTAAAACAGACCCAGTGGCAGGGACAGAATTCTGGACTGCACACCCTGGTGTCCAGGTTCAAATGGCTCTTGGCCTCGGCAGCCTTCCAGCACAGGACTTGGGGCTGCCAAGAACAATTCCTCCCACTGTTGCCACCACTGTGCTAGCAATGAGATGTGAGCTTGGCCTGTAGAGATCACCCTGCTTCTTCATGAGATGCTGGTGGACCTACCACGTTTCCCCAGGAACAAAGTGTGTTAAAGAGAGATGGGCAGCACCCATATGTTGGCACAATAGGCACAATAGGCTATGTTCTCTTGCTGGAATAATTGAAAGTGGAAAAAAAATTTCCCAGTGCATGTGTGGTGTGCACATGGGTTGCCTTGTTGGCAGGGGACAGAAGTGGAGAGCTCTGAGCTGGGCACACATCAGTAACATGATTAACTGGCTTTGATAAAGCTTTAAGAGCTGAGGGGAACTGATTAGCTCATCTGTTAATAGGAGGCAAATCTTCCCACACAGCGGAGAACAAACCATGCCAACCTTGAACTGAAGGGGAACTGGGCAGACAGATCAGATTTTAGGTTCTTTTGTTTGTTTGTTTTTGTTATTTTTTCCGAATGATTTGGCCTCTATTTCTCTTTTCCACCTTCTCTGAGGGAAAAATAAGTTTATTTGCATCTCCACTGATGTCACCATAAAGCATAATGCCCTAAGCTGGGAGCTTACATCCCATTCCCAGGAACGTTTCAGAGTCGTGACTTGGGGCATCCCCTTGTCTCATGTTCTTCCCTGCACAGCTGGCAGTCCCGGGGTGCCAGGCATGCTGGCTTTCCCACAAACTCAAAAGGCAGTGGGAAGCATTACAGATGCAGTGAGTTAACATGTCTGTACGTGGGTTCTCTTGCCCAGAGCTGCTCCACTTGGGCTGTGTGCAGCACGTCTGCCCGTGCTGCCAGGCAGCCCACCCATGCTCATCAGGGACAGGGGATGTTCTGGAGCACGTGAGCTCTGTCTCCGTTCCTGTAGAAAAGCTCACGTGTGATGCTGCCAGCCCTCTGCCCCTGCCACCCTGCAGTGTAAAACTGGATTGTATAGTGCATTTTTTGCTCTTTGAAATCCCAGCTGTTGGTGCTGCTGCTGCTGTTGCTGCCAGCTCAGCGGTGGAGAGAACATAAGTTCTGAGCAGTACTAGCTGAGAGTGTGTTCACTCTCCTCCCCTCCTCCTCCTCTTCTGCCCAGTTCAAACTCAGTGACAAATGAGATGTTCAGCAGTTGATGTGGTCATCTCTCTTTTCTGAGTGACTTCTCCTCAGCCCTGCAGATTTCAGGGCATGCACTAGCGCTGGCCAAAAGGCTGCTCTGTCCCGCTGAGGGGCAAGGCCAGGTCAGGCCAGGGGAAAGGACTGATCACAGGGAATTCTTTCCTATGAACACAAGCTGAGAGTGTTGGGGTTGTTCTGCCTGGAGAAGAGGAGGGTCTGAGGATACAGCTTTCCAGTACATCAAGGGGTCCACAAGAGAGCTGGAGAGGGACTTAGGGCAAGGGCATGTAGTGATGGAACACGGGTCATGGCTTCAATTTGAAAGAGAGTAAGGTTAGATATTAGCAAGAAATATTTTACTGTGAGGGTGGTGATGCACTGGAGCAGGTTGCCCAGAGAAGTTGTGGGTGCTCAATCGCTGGAAATGTTCAAGGCCACATTGGACAGGGGCTCTGAGCAATCTGGAGTAGGAGGTGTCCCTGGCCAAGGCAGCTTGGAACAAGGTGGTCTTTAAGGTCCCTTCCAACCCATTCCATGAACACTGCAACTGAGGTGAATTCCTCATTCACTATAAATTTGTGATGGATGCAATCTCCCTAGAAGGCTTGCAGTGAGTTTCTCACTGTGGAACAGCTTTTCTCCCTCTCTTTATCCTTCTTCCAAACCTTACTGCCTCATGCAGGGCCTTTTGACAAATAGTCAAAGGCAGCTCTGGAGATTGAAAGTTCTGCTCCTGACTGCCAGCATGGCCCTAAGCCTCTTGTTATTTGTCCCTAGGTTTTAGTTCAACTTCTGCAAGTTTAGGATAAAACCTCTCATGGATAATTACAGTGGCAATGGATCTTGAAATACTGGAGTCTTGTCTGTGCAATTCAGTGTCTCCTCCTCTGCAGTAGAGCCCTTTTCCTCTTTTGTTACCTAGCCTGTGGGTGGGTAGGAAAGATTTAGGAACTAAGAAATGCTCAGTCATGGGGAAAGGGCAGACATTAGGTGCACTCAGTTCTACCACACTTGGTTTTTCCAGCTAATGTAAGATGCTGTCTGTACATTTTTTTGTAACAGGCTGGGCAGCCTTAGCTAGCAGAATGTGATACCATAGGTCCTACAGTAATTCCAGTTGTTTCTTCCTCCAGCTTGACCCCAAAGTTTTTCTTTCACTAGCAGAGGAGCAGAGGTTTGAAAGACAAGGTACTTACTGACGAGCAGGTGTGCTGAAATAGAGCTCCTCTGTAGCTCCTGCCAGTTTCCACTTCTGTTATGCTTGGGTGTCTCACATCCATTGGGTAGCCAGTGATTCTTGTCCTGAAGGCAGGTTTATGCACCCTGTCACTGGAGATGCTCAGCAGGACACTTCCTCTGGCACTGTGGAGTCTCAAAGCTGGAGAGTCACCAACTCTGCAGAGGTGAGAATAAAATCAGACAGGCAGTCAGCAACTGCCCAGCTGTTTTGTGTGATCTCATCTCTACCTGGTCACTAAGGGATTTAGGTAGCAATTTGCCAAGATAGAGATATCTGTGGCAATTTGCATGGACAATCCCATGGCAGCACTGATCTTTCCAGTGTGGAGTCAAACGTGAGGGCATGAGTGCTTCCTTGCACATACAGCTCCCTCAGCACATTATTTGGTTGTTGTTATCCTCATTTGTTCTGAAATGGTCAGATGATCTCCAAGCTGAACTCTCAAAATATGTCTGTTTACTCAGAGACCATTGATCCATGGAACAAAATCCAGGGGTCTGGATTTGACCCTCAGTCACTAACCTTCAGTAATATACTAGTTTTCTTTGGAATTTTCTAGATCTAGCATGCCCCACAAAAACAGTTGGGAGGGACAGGAACCATTATCTGCCTCTTCACCCATGATGAAAACAAAAACCACAACCAAAGTAAAACCAGTCTGCTCCTTGTGATCAGTGGGACAGGTGGTATGGCCCCAAGCACCAGAATCTGTGTCTTTCTGGGCAAGATGTGCAAGATGGGCTTTCAACACTCTTCTGCCCCTTGCTCTCAGACATCTAACAGGAGGGCAAGAAGCACTGGAAAAGATTGCTTGGGATTTGTTGGAACCTCCAGTGCTGGATTATATTTAAGAACCTGTTAGAAAACATATGTCAAGAACAGGTTGCAGAGAGATGATCCCAGTTTGTGAAGGAGGAACAAATTAAATGCTTCTTGATATCCAGCCAGCCTTGATGTCTTTGATTCTGATCTCTCTTTCATCTGTGCTATCTCTGGTCATGTCTGTAGGACAGATAGGAGAGTTGGATTAAACTAGAAACTGGTGATGGTGCCAGCATAGGTACAGCTCTGCTATGAAGTCATCTACAACACAGACATCTGAGATCAGGAACCAGGAAGGGAATGAGAAGTGAGATGGGGACTCTTCATTTGATTAACTATTCTCTCCATGGTCCATGAGAGGTAAATCCAAGAGATAAATCTCTCACATAGCGAGATTAGCGAAAATGCGGATATCGAAATGCACAGATAGATGGCATGAGCCTTCACAGGCCTCAGCTACTGAGCAGAGAGAGTAGCAGCTTAGAGCTGGCCTCGAAATCCTGAGAGATACCTGCCTGTTAATTAAATGACAGTCCTTGGAGAGGAAAGGAGGGGTTTGCCTCTCTCTGTCAAGGTGCAATTAGGGGAAGTCGACATTTGTAGAATAAGGTGTCATTTGGGGTCAGGAGGACAGGAAAGCATCTCCTGTTAAACAGGAAGGAACTCTGCCAG